ACCTGCATATGCATATATATTAGAAAAAATGCTAAATACGTCGACCTATATATGCATATATAGACTGACGTATAAGACCTCTTAATTAATATGGATTAATTAAAAATCTTAATAAGAAACAAGCTTTTAAATAGGCTTTCAGGGCATACCATACTTTTAAAAAGGTCAAAGCAACCCAAAAGAACGAGCCTATAATAGGCCATAGGTCAGTCTCAAGTATTGTAATTTTATTGTAGGCTAGGGTCAGGCCTTTTAAAGCCTAGCCTAGCCTATTTTCACCCCTAACAGTATGGTAACACTCTTAGTAACCATCCTCACACTGCGAGTGGTGTTGAACCATAACTACTCAATCTCTAATGGCATGACCAAAGCTGATGAAGTTACTTTGAAACCACCAACCAATGTCCGTATATGGTAATATCCAGAACTAGCCTACAATAGTGTTGTCAAATAGGAAAACTCAGCCTCAGCAACCCTAGCCTGATTTGTCACTCTATTAGTAGCTCTGCCTGCAATAGTGTCCTCTCTGCCTCTGTATTTCACTGCAAAAGAAGGAAAAATTAACAACTATCATAAATTTCATAATTTTTAATAAAAAAACTAAGTTTTTAATACCACCGGAAATTTTGAAATTTCTAGTAAAAAACAAAATCTTTATACTTACCAGAAATTTCAGAAATTTCGATAAGAAAACTAAGTTTTGTAACTACCAAAAATTCTAAAATTTCCATGGAATTATGTATTGGAAAATTTGAAATTTCCGATAAAAATGTTAGAATTAACACCTGAAAATTTTGAAATTTTCAGTACAAAATACCGAGAATAATGAAATTTACAATAATAAACGTATTGTTTTTCAAATTTCTAGTAGTGTAAATTCAAAGTTCCAGTATCGCCCCAGATTATTGAAATTTGCGTGTGGATCCTATAAATTTGAAAAATGAGTGAAATGATTTTTCAAGGACAATATTGTCTTTTCATATGCAATGGGGGATATCAAATTCAAGTGGGGGTGTCAAGTATGGCTAGACTAGGCTTTAGAAGGCCTAAGTCTGGCCTATGATAAACTTACCGGCCCTGAGTCTGACCTATGACCTATTATAGGCTTTTTTTTTGTCTGGTCTGGCCTTTTTAAAAGTACGGCCTAACCTGAAATCCTATTTAAAAGTCTATTTCTTATTAAGATTTTCAATTAATCCATATTATTTAAGAAGCCTTATACGCCGATATATATATATAGCCTAAGTCTAGTCTATTTAGCACTTTTTCTAATATATATACATATATAAGTTAGCCTATTTAAACTATATTTAATATATATGAAAATATAGGCCAGCCTATAAGACTTCATAGGCTTTTTTTAATAGCTTAAGCCTAGCTTATTTAATTAAATAAGCTTTTAAAAAAGTCTAAGCCTAACTTTTTATTAAATAGATCTGGCCTGACCTGACCTTAAATAGGCTAGGTTATAGGCCCTTATAGGCTGGCCTAACCTATTCCCATCTTTAGTGTCAAGTTAAAGTGAATTTCTTATTGGACCCTATATGTTTCTAATGCACCATGTGACTTTCCACATATTTCAGAGATATATCTTCGAAATCATTTTAAACATTCAGAACAAGCACTCATAAACCATTTACATTTGAATTGTTTCAGAGATGCATCTACGATAATTTTTCAGAGATACATCTCTGAAGTGTATTAGAGTAAGTTGTTTTTTTGCTTTAAGATGTGTATTTGTTTTCAGATGAAGTATGAAACACGAACTAGAATAAAAAATAGACATACAAAATAATAAGGGACTAATATTGGATGTGTCGAAAATGATATAGTAACAATGTTAGAAATAAAGTATAAATTATAATACTACAACAAAATAATAACATACAACTACTAGGTGTGCCTGACAACCTCTCATCTACCTCCTTTGCCTCTTCTTCCTGCTCTACCTCCTCGGTCATCAATCCCCCCGTCCTCCGACGATGTCTCCGATACAATAGTGCCCCATATCCCTCCACCACCATGGCATCTAGGACACACCCGACAACAGATCTCTCAGGGAATATATCCTCGTCAATGCATGTCCGTGCAATCTCCATTATGCAACGAAACCAAAGAAAGACATCATCAGTATGATCTATCTAAGCCTGCTCCTCCTCAAGTATCTCCTAATGACCTAGTCTCGACGGATATCCTGGAGCAGTCTGCACCATGTACGGATGTGACACCCTGAAGAACCACCTGATGTATTCGTCGACGTAGCTCTATTCGTTCGACGTTATGGTAGCTCGTGCCTCCTTTGGAACTAGATGACTCTCATAATCAACAAACATCTCCTCTATTTAAGGTGTATGGGGATGGTATGGGTGTACCCGAACTGCCGCATGACCCGCTCGAATAAGTGAGGAGCAATGATACGCAATTTACAGGCCAACCATCTGGAGTATAAAGCTATGTTGTTAAATGGTCGCGTCTGACGATGATCCACGTAGCTGTTAAAATGCATGTCCTTAACAACCAAACGGTCAACATAGACTCTGAAATGCATGTCCTCAGTGTACTCATCCACACTCGCCCAGCCAGCGATAGGCGAGAAATGTTGGAGGATCCTAGATTGAAATTAAAATAAAAAATGTTCAAGAATCAAGAATTATTGGCAATGGTTTTACCAATATGAAATGAAAATGACAAAAAAATATTCAAGGATCAAGAATTATTACCACTAGTAGTGTCACATTTCCCGTGACCTGCTTCGTCCTCCACCAACATCCATCTCTCAACTTCGAATACAAATAGGCCATGCAAGTCGCCCCCGGTTGTACTCATGGATCCGAGTGAGATCCAATAAGCACCAAATGTATGCATCGTCAATATAGGTGGCACTTGTGTCCACAAAAATGCAAGTGCCAACCCAAAAAAGAAAATATGGCCTCAAAGCACGAGCCCTGTGTACCACCACCTGCTCAGCATCACCATGAGCCACCTTTGCAGCAACAATCTTCTCATCATATCTCTAATTTGAGAACTTAAACCTAGCATGAACACTCATGGTCCTATCCACCTCCTCAATCTCTTTCTCTAGATAAGCCCTTAGATGTTCTACCATCATCTCGACCGCCTCATCTTTGGTCATCCTACCATGATCAAGGAATCTCCCCCTGATTAGAAGATGTAACAAACATGAGACATCGTTCAGTGTGATAGACAAGACATCTCACCATGCAGGAGATGAAAAGAAGATGTCTCAGAATATCATCTCTCCACGAATGCATTAAACATCCTATAGTTGACCAGAGTGTAACCGGTCATGCATAGGTCCTTCAACCCAAATAAGGTCAGAACCGACTGAAACCACTCATAATCCGGCTGAGTTAAGCCAACAATCTTTCTCCCATGATTCAGAAACTTCTAGGGATCACGCACCTTAAATTTTCCAGAAATAATCAATGTTAGTAATAATTAATGTTAGAAATAATTAATGTCAGCAATTTAAATTAACGTAAAAAATAAATAAAACTAACTAATGCTACCTCTCCGTCTCAGATATGTCTGGCAGTATGGTCTGGATACAAAAGAAGTAGGGACATATTAGATGGACCTCTTCCAAATCCCTCTGGCTCAGCATCCTTAACAACCTCACCCTCTAGAGGTGGTACTGGATCAGCAGGATCATCAGCGGGAGGTTAGATCACTAATAGGTGGCACTGGTGAATTCTGACGCCTGCGGAAGGATGGGGGAAGTGACACATCACCTGGTGAATCCCGTTTCCTATGGGAAGAAAAAGAAGACGAGGTGGCCTGAGATGAAGGTGGAATGACATGAGATGAAGTGACCTGAGGTGAAGGACGAGCCCTAGAAGTAAACTGTGTCACAGAAGTCGACGCCTTTGCTTGACCATAAGTACCTACTACCTCTGGAACATATTGGCTCTGCTCTTTCCAGACGGATGCGTATTGGGCAACCTGACCATGTTTCATTCTGTCGACTCTGTCATCCATAATGCAGGCAGATAACACAAACAAATAATAAAATTAAAAAAAAAATAGACTGAAGGATATTCTGGAGATATGTCTCTGGAAAGATCATAAAATAATAACGTTGAATAATTCTAGAGATACATCTCCGGAAACACCATAAAACTATTACCTTTAAAGAGTTCCGGAGATGTATCTTCGAAAATTTCCAAAGGATATGAAACACTGAACTATTCCGGAAATGTATCTCCAGAAAGTTCTGCAATTCAGAGGTCGCGACAATGACATAATGTGGCTCATGCAAGTTGAAAAAATATGATCTGATCGCCATTTTGAGCCAACAAACAAGTTATATACTAAGCTTAAACTATGTTACATGCGATTCCTACATATTTCTAACCCTAATAATTGATTTCTACACATTTACACAAAAACTCAAAATTTATCCGAAAACTTGAAAATTTACCCGAAATTGATGGTTTTGATAATGTTGAATGATATTATTGATGATGTTTGATGTTCCTCTTAGCTTTGTTTGATGAAATTTGATGTTGTGAATAAGTTGAAATTTTATGTTGAGAGAAAAGTTTGAGAAGTGTGAGGAAAGAGAAGAGTCTGACGCGATATATGCTTTAAATTGTTCTGGAGATATATCTCCGATATATTTAAACGTTCAATGAATTTTAAAAGCGTCCGAAGATATATCTTCAAAATCAGTGAGTATGTATGAAATTTCATATGATATGATAGAAATACATAAGGTGGAAAAATAAATTCTCAAAATTAAATGCTCCAACAAAAGAGTCCGGTGGGCTCTTGAGTCCGATGGGCCACGCAGTCGCCCGCTCTCCACATTCTACACCCCCAAAAGACAAACAAAAAATTGCTCTCCACGCAACTACACTACTTCTTTCTCTTCCACCTCGGTTTAAACCCTAACCGAGGGTTTAACCTCGCGCCATGCTCTGAACAACCCCATAACTACTTCACAATCCATTTCCAAACCGCATTCTTACTCCCAAATCATGTCCGCCGCTAAATTAACCTCATGCGTCGCCGTAACAGCAGCTGCAGTCGCTTCAATGGCCACTCGCCCCGATCCTGCTTTCTCCGAATCTTTCTTCCGATTCCCTTTTTTCTCTTCTTCACCTTCCAATTCACCTTCACCGAAGGACCAATCATCTGACACAAAGTCGGAATCTTCATCGTCTGAGGAACCTAACAACTCGGGTTTTAATCCTGAATCGTTAGAAATAGCTGCTGAAGCTCTCCGGAAAATCAATAATTCACCCTACCGTAAACAGGTTATTAGTTTTCTGAAATTTATCTGCAATTTTTGTTAGAATTCAAACAAGGAGTAATTTGGAGTTATTTCTTCTAGAAGGATTTTCATTTAGTTTTGTGATATGTCTTGCTTTTGTTTTTCAGGTGTTTGATTTAATGCGTGAACAGGAAAAAACTCGGCTTGCTGAGCTAGATGCTGAGAAAGTTTATTATGAACTTATTCAGTCTCAAGGAGATATTGTAAGTGATCATTTGTAAAATTGTTTCTAAACTTTGACTTCAAAATTATAATTAAGATCTGTTATAGTCATGCTTAAAGCTTGGTTTGAAATCAACCAGTGATTATCAATGGGGAGAAGGGTAGTTCTCACCAACAAGTTTGTCGATTTTTGCCATTCTGATTTCCCTTTTTCAAACCAAGCTATCCGAATGTTTTATTATCATCGACCTCATGCCATAAGAACAATAACAAATTGACAATGATCCAATGGTATCGGAAATTTATAGAGAATATAATTTTGGTTAGCTCTTAAGTTTCTATCTTGTTTTATTGTGCCAAATATATTTACTTTGCAGGACAGACTGCGTAAAATGGCTGAAGAACAACGCAATCTAATACAAGAGCAGAACCAGAGGCAGGCTCAGGTGTTGCGATTTGAAGATGAATTGGCAAGGAAAAGAATGCAGGTGCAGACTGAATGAACAACAATATACTCCTTTTATTAAATATATATGTGAATATTCTAAGTTCTAACATTTAATTAACCTTCAAATTTAGAAATTGTTATTCCATGGCAAAAAGTCATAATAGTTTTAGTGGTGTTGGATGTAGTTAGGAAGTACATATACAAAATCATTCCGAGCTTGTTCTTTTCATACGGTTTCTAACGTTTTTTTTTCATTTCTCTTTTGATCTTTTGGTTCTAGGCACTGAGTATGTTTTTATTTTGTTTAAAATTTGAGTTATAGAAACAAACAAACTTAAGTTTTGTTTTAGAAACGTATGAACTTAGACAGTGATTGCCTTGCCAATTCCTAAAATTTATCTCCTTTCTTTTCTCGGTTTTCAAAACACCAGTAATAGAATTTATGATGTAAAATTCCTTGAGTAGTAGTCTAACTGGTTAAATCTTTTCCTTTAAATATATCCCCTTTCTTTTGTGTGTGTTCAAGACACTAGTAATAGGATTTAAGGTGAAAATTTCATAAAGTAATCTAACTGAGTAAATCTTTGAGTGTTCAGTGCCCTGTGTAAATTAAGCTTCTCCATTTTTGAAATTTTGTAAGACTAAAATCTTTAATATAAAATAGCTATCCTTATCCATAATATTCCATTTGCAGACAGATCATGAAAATCAACGACAACATAATGTTGAGTTGGTCAAGATGCAAGAGGATTCTTCTGTAAGAAAGGAGCAAGCAAGACAGGCTACTGAAGAACAGATTCAATCTCAGAAGCGTCAGACTGAAAGAGAGCGAGCTGAAATAGAAAGAGAAACCATTAGAGTTAAGAAAATGGCAGAGGCTGAAGCCCGAGCCCATGAAGCAAAATTGACCGAGGATCATAACAGGAGAATGCTTATAGATCGAATGCATGGGGAAAGAGATAAATGGCTTGCTGCAATTAACACTACCTTTAGTCATATTGAAGGTATGGCAAGTTATGGAAACACAAGTTTACAAAATCTATTTTTGGCTTCTTCATGAAGATCATATATGTTGCCTACACGTTATTAGCTGTTACATACTTAAAAAGTTAAAATGCTGTTGGCTTTCATTATTTCTTCTCATAAATCAACTATGTGCTTCTAACCTCGTTTTGTATCAACTATTTTCACTGAGTAGATGACGTCTGCATGACCTTTTATTTGTAAGTCATCAGATTACCTATTTGTAGATATAAGTGTTGTCTCTCTCTACTTAATGCAGGTGGTCTAAGGGTCTTATTGACCGATAGGGACAAACTGATTATGACTGTTGGAGGAGCAACTGCATTAGCTGCAGGAGTATATACAACAAGGTACACATGTTTTTTTTTCTCTCGGTACATTTCATTTTGAACTTAGTAACATCATCACTGAATTTGAAAGTGTGTTGGCAGTAAGTTGTGTTTACCTTCTGCCAAACACTATTGTGTTGGCAGTAAATTTCTTTTGTAGTAGTTGGCCTGCCTGCATGCAAAATAGTTGTATCGAGAATACATAATCTAGATGCATAAAAGTGGTTTTATGGCGCTGTTAAATACTAGCAAATGTATTGGGACAAAACAGTAACATCTGCAATTTCTATGGCCACTACAAATGGGGAATCAGGGAGTTAAGTATAAAAAAAATATAGTAGTTTCTATCTTACGCCACTAAAGTGGTTGCTACTACTTAGTCATTCAGTTCCCAGACCCCATATTAAGTTCAAAAAGTCAAAGTACAAATAAAATCACGGGTTTGCATGCTATTACGCTTCCTCTTCCCTTTTCAATCAATAAACTACTTTAAAGCTTATTTATTATGAAATATTTTTGTCATGATTTGTTCACCAATTGGTAAATCCTAAGATCTAATCCTGAAATCAACCCGCTGCAATAAAGTGAAGTTTCATCTTTCTTTTCCTAGTAAATAATATCTAAATATTTTTCCCTACTTTCTATTGCCGCAGAGAAGGTGCAAAAGTTACATGGGGCTATATTAATCGGATTTTGGGGCAGCCATCATTAATCCGGGAGTCATCCATGGCAAAGTTTCCAGGATCAAGGATCATGACTCAAGCCAAAAATAGAGTTTTAAATTATAGTACCTTGGCCAGGGCAGAGAAGCCTGTTGGGAGTCAAAATGGTCTTGGAAATGTAATCTTGCATCCATCGTTGCAGAGAAGAATAGTACATCTAGCAAGGGCAACATCAAATACCAAGGCCCATCAGGCACCATTTCGTAACATGCTTTTTTATGGTCCTCCCGGGACTGGTAAAACCATGGTTGCAAGAGAAATAGCTAGAAAATCGGTATGATAATTAGTTATTCTGTGCTGATTTTTATATGTTTTGCTTGTTAATACTTTTGTATGATCTGTTGAGTTTGTACTGACGAGTTGGCATAATATCCTGGTTGTAAAATATGTGATATATGAACAAATAGATTTAACTTAATTACTTTGATGATCGTTTTCTGTTTTATATTAACACTGCTTCCTATATATGGATTTGATTTGTCTTTTTCTGCTCTTAAGTCATAGACTTTAGTGTATTGTTTTATAACTTGACTATTTTTTAGTGAAGAAGTCATTTTAGAGTAGGAAACTATAAATTATAGCCATTGTTGGACTTTCCGCCTTAATTGCGGTCCTCCCCTAGTCGCCTTAATTGCGGCACTTTGGCTTGCCTCATTGCAGCCCCCAACACCTTCATTGTGTTGGCTTTGAAGGGGTGGATTTAATCCCACATTGCTTAGAGATATGACCTGTGTTGTGTTTATAAGTGGGGGCAATCCTCACCCTACAAGCCGGTTTTGTAGGGATGAGTTAGGCCCAATCCAAAATCTGAGATGATATCAAAGCCTATCTTAGATCTATTGTTGGGCTTCCCGCATCGTCCACACTTTGGGCTCATTGAAGCCCAAGCGTGAGGGGGTATGTCGGACTTTCCGCCTTAATTGCAGTCCGCCCCTAGTCGCCTTAATTGCGGCACTTTAGCTTGCCTCATTGCAGCCTCCAACACCTTCATTGTGTTGCCTTTGAAGGGGTGGATTTAGTCTCACATTGCTTAGAGATATGGCATGTGTTGTGTTTTTAAGTGTGGGGAATCCTCACTCTACAAGCTGGTTTTGTAGGGGAATGAGTTAGGTCCAACCCAAATTCTGAGATAATATAATTAGTGATTGAGATTGTTATCATATCCTTGTAGATAAACTACGAAGTTAAGTAACCATTTGATTTTCTAATCAATGACTAAAACTCACTTTTCCCTTAAAAGTGGGCACTAAATGCATTTTTTCATTGTTCATTTATTTGCAGAAATTCGGGTAAAACTTGTCTTTAACTACCTTTGACTATTTCAATTTTTCTTCTGTGAAGGGTTTGGATTATGCAATGATGACTGGAGGAGATGTTGCACCTCTGGGCCCACAGGCTGTTACCAAAATTCATGAGATATTTGATTGGGCCAAGAAATCTAAAAGAGGCCTATTGCTTTTTATTGACGAGGCAGATGCTTTCCTTTGCGAGTAAGTTTTGCAGAATTAAAATGCATTTTGAATACTAAGTTTCAGAGTTGCTCCGGAGAAGCACAGCTTTAAAATTATTTGGTCTGTGTAGTTTATCTAACTATGAGAAGTATAAATATCAAATTATTAGTATCTGCATGGAATATCTTAATGTTTTTACAACATTCAATTGTTTAGGATGGATTTATGATAAATTTTGGTACAAAAGCCCAAAGTATGTTCAACTTCACTTATTTGAGAGATTAAAATGAATATGTGAATCAACAACTTTTGTGGATTTTGTCAGTGTGTGTATGTTTATACCCTGATATATGTAACCTGAAGGGATTAAATATTTTCTTCTTAACAATAAACTAGTGGGAGTCTAAGTAGTATAATAATTATGATATTTTCTTGTTGTATTAAAAGTTTTAATGATCATATTTTATTAAATGCAGGCGTAACAGCTCATATATGAGTGAAGCTCAAAGAAGTGCCCTAAATGCCTTGCTTTTCAGAACTGGTGATCAGTCTAGAGACATAGTACTTGTCCTTGCCACAAACAGACCAGGAGATCTTGATAGTGCAATTACTGATCGCATTGATGAAGTGATTGAATTCCCGCTTCCAGGAGAGGAGGAACGTTTTAAGTTATTGCAGCTCTATTTGAACAAGTATCTATGTGATGAAAGTAACGACTCCAAGGGGGGCTTATTTTTGAAGAAGCAGCCCCAGAAGATAACCATAAAAGATTTATCTGAAGATGTGCTGAAAGAGGCTGCAAAGAAAACAGAAGGGTTTTCTGGCCGTGAGATAGCTAAACTCATGGCCAGCGTCCAAGCTGCTGTCTATGGGCGCCCGGACTGTGCCTTGGATTCTCAGCTGTTTAAAGAACTTGTTGATTACAAGGTGGTGGAACATCATCAGCGATTAAAACTAGCAGCTGAAGGCGGCCTCCCTGCATGATCAAATGTAACAACTCGTTCCTGCTTGGTACTTCTGAATTCCCATTAATATCAGCTCTGGGAGTTTTCTTCTGGATACATTCTCCATCTTGTTACTTGAGCTGTGCCATTATTTCAGGCCCGGGAAGCATATTTTTTTAAAACCATCTTCCAGATGTGTTTGCTAAGCTAATTTATGCTATGTTTTAGCTTTTAGTTCCAGATGTGTTTTAGCTTTTAGATTCATCGAATTAGCGTTCCAGCAAAACCTGTTATCTTCGTGCTACATGGAGCATGAGACCGGGTCTTGAAAGTGTAGAAGTCAATTTACCTTGTGTCTGTTAAATTAAATTTATAAAATATGCTCAGTTGTAACTTAAATTTGCATTTTCTTTTGAATGAATATTGTGAAATTCCAATAACAATTTACAGGAATGGATCTGTTGAATAATTGTTTATTTTTTGTTAGAATATATTCCCTCCGTTTTAAAATGATTGGCGTTTTAGGGGGAAGTTTTTGTTTCAAAATGAATATCATTCTCATTTTTCAATAGAGTAATAATTGTTATTTTTTCAATTATGTTATATAATTATTACTTTGAACACTATTTTTAATACATTAATAAGACTAATTTAGTAAATGTGCAATATCTTATGATAATATTATTACACTTTTTAATTTGTCTGTCAAGATATTAAACGACAGTCATTTTAAATAGGAGGGAGTATTGTTTGTATATTTTTAACACGTTTTTTCATCAGTTAAATGAACTATAAAATTATTGAGTTGACTTTATCTTGCATTAAATAATGTTGGTGGTAGATTAAAATATTAGTATGGTATCCTGAAACACTATTTTTAATGCTTAATCATTCGAAGCCGATGTGTAAACTAGTTTTTGCTTAAGTAACATATTCTTGTAACTCAAGTAAGCTAGCTTACTAAATAATGAATTTTTTATACCAACGAGTTTTGTTCGGGTGTTTACATGAGGTCATAGTAAGTCTTAGGACCGAAAGAAGATCTTACAAGAATATTTATAGATTATTTATCAAGAATGTCCTCACATCAATAATTGGAGGAGCCTTCTCTCTTCACTTATTTATAAAATTTATTTAGTTTAAAATTTTGTTGTTGTAAATGTAGTTAATACAATTTTAAAATTTATTTAGATTAAAATTTTATGGTTGTAAATGTGGGAGAAACTAAAAAGATTACATCCTTTAATGAGGAAATTGAGCCAACCTTTAGCAGATGCAGAGATAAAAAACCAAGTTGGAGGAAGTTAGAGATGATCTTCTCAAGCTCAGCAGAGCCTCATTCAAGATATAATGAATGTCCAACGCATTGAGAAAGTTCAAAAGTGCACTACTGAGGTAATTAAGTGGAATGATTCGGAAGAGCAAGTTTTAAAGCAAAAAGCTAAAATCAACTGTTTGAGACTTGGGGATGGCAACAATCCATATTTCCATGCATCCTTAAGAGTAAAGCAACAACAAAACACTATGAAGAATATCCACAGAGAAGATGGTTCTATTGCAATATCCCAGAAAGACATAGAAGAAGATGTCCTTAATTTCTATAGCAATATGATGGGAAAGGATGATCACAACTTATAAACAATAAGAGACAATTGCTCTTGGATTTTAAAAGTCATCCTTAAGTAACGAGAGAAGGTGTCTCAATTACAAGCTGGAACAATATGCACCACATGAGTAAATTTGCAACAAAACGAATTTACATGGATTTGAAAGTAAAATACCAACAAGTGCAATAGAGGAAGATCTTTTATAACAACATGGCGCGTCCAAGAGCCTTATTTGTACTCTGGATGACTTATCACGAAAATTTAGCAACGAAAGCAAGGTTTACAAATTTGATATGACCGATAATGAAAATTGCTGCTTTTGTTCGCAACCAGAGACTAAACATCACCTTTTTTTGGTTGCTTACAGCTGAAATTTTTTTGGCAACAGGTCCCGGATTGGTTGCAAATCAAGCATACACCCCAAAAATGGCATGAAGAACTTAAGTGGATAACTAATCCCTGCAAAGGTAAAGGATGAAAAGCTTGTCTTATCAAGAGTGACGTTGCAGAATGTGTATGAAATTTGGAGACATAGAAATGAAAAGAGTATTGGAAGCAAAGTAAATAATACTAGAATAGGTCAAAAGATTATAGATACTATAGTGCATAGAGGTTGGAATTATTCCAAGGTTAGCCAATATCTTGCTAGATTGATGATGTTCTAAGTTAGGATCTTTTGTATGGGTTGTTAATTTGTTTTGTTGGGATTGGGCCCACCTTATGTATATTGGTTTTTTGAATTAATCAAATTGTGTTGATTAAAAATAAAATAGTTATAAATAAATGTCAAAAATAGAATAAAAAGAATATGTCACGCACACTTGCAATGTATGTGTTAATACTAGAGTTTTTTCCGTTATAAAATTATTACGGATAAATAATTATAATAGGCCAATAACATTTTTTTTAAATATTTATTTTTAAAGAAAAAAGAAAATATACCGACTTTTATAATGTCAACCAATCACAACTATGTATCAGAATAAAATATATTTTTATTTTAAAATATATATATATATATATATATATATATATATATATATATATATATATATATATATATATATATATATATATATATATATATATATATATATATATATATATATATATATATATATATATATATATATATATATATATATATATATATATATATATATATATATATATATATATATATATAAAATTAAATAATTCTTTTCAATAAAATTCCCATCATTTCCATTAATATTTTTACAATAAATAAAAAATTACAAAATACATTAAGCGCATTATTAACATATATTTTATTTTCGTAAAATAAATAAATTTTATTCCCATAATTAATAATTAAATTAAAACCTAAACGTGGGTACTGAAACTCCATTATATTAACTAGTGTTAATCAGACACTTACGTGTCTGTTTGTCAGTCTTTTTTAGTGCACACATACATTAAAATATAAACGATAACTTTTTTTTTATTAATTTTGATTTTGATTTAAATTATTTTTTTCATAAATTTTGTGATATGCGCTTTCATGTTTGTTTGTCCGATTTCTTTAATGCACAAGGAATAAATTATAAAATACTATCATATCTCTCTCTCTCTCTCTCTCTCTCTCTCTCTCTCTCTCTCTCTCTCTCTCTCTCTCTCTCTCTCTCTCTCTCTCTCTCTCTCTAGTGTTTGATTTTTTCCAGCACAGAAGCCCTCTAAATTTTGTCAGAAAGAGGTTGGGGATCGTAAAATAGTTCGGAATTCGATTCGCCAGTTAAATCGTTGAACTAGATCATGAACCAAATGAGTTGAGTATGAGCGAAAAATTAGGTTCGTTAACTAAATGAGCTGAACTTGAACTATACATAATTCGACTCGTTAGGTTCATGAGTCAACTCGATTACATATGAGAAGAATTATACCGTCTTTAAGATTAAGTTTAAATATTTACTCCAAATCTTAGACAAATTTAATCTTCAATTTAGTAGTTTTTGAATTAGACTCTCAAATGTATCTCTTGAAAGTTGTGTAGGTTTTGAATTAGTAGATTTCGAAGATAAAGTTAAATTTCAATATGATAACTTTTATTTTATTTTAGAAATATATATTTATTTAAAATGTCAAATATACTAATATATATATATATATATATATATATATATATATATATATATATATATATATATATATATATATATATATATATATATATATATATATATATATATATATATATATATATATATATATATATATATATATATATATATATATATATATATATATATATATATATATATATATATATATATATATATATATATATATATATATATATATATATATATATATATATATATATATATATATATATATATATATATATATATATATATATATATATATATATAGTTTTTAAGTCCGTGAATCATGTGAGCTGAACCTAACAAGTTGAACCGAACAGTTCGTGAACTTATAACGAGTCGAGTTTGAGCTTAAAAAAAAGTTTGTGTCGAACTCGAACTCGAATTCGAATTCGAACCAATTCTAACGAGTCGAGCCGAGCTGAGGTGAGTTCGACTCGACTCGACTCATTTCCAGCCCTATGGTTGAGGCATTCTCTGAGGTGAATATAGATATGGCCTAGGTTATTTTTACCAGGGCCTATGGTAGGGCCAATTGTATGCTTTGAAAGTACAACATTCGAGATAAAGAATTTGCTCACGCGGTGATTGTGAGAGACATTATGTTCTCTCTTTGAAATTTGTGGATATTTTCTCAAACCCAAGATTAGGTTCTATAAAGGATCTCATGGGCTATGAAAACGGTTGATCCCACTTCCTCATCAGGAACGTGGGAGTAAAGGTAGACTAGTTCTTCCGTAAATAGTGAGGGAGATAGTTTTGCCCCTTTGATTGATACTTTCAGGCTGTTGCTACTTGAACACTTCATGAACCACATATATCAAGAAAAATATACCCTAAATACTAGTTTGGGCGACTAAGCCCACACCGGCCGCTTAGGTCGATTTCGAGCGCTCCGACCAAAATATGAGTGACTAAGCTCACATTGGGCATTCGTCTAGACTTCCTGCATTTAGCTTGCTCTTGCCATTGATTTTTTTTATCACGGAAAATCTCCTTTTTAGGTCTAATAATATTATGTCAGTCCAAATTTATAAACAATAAGTATTCCTTTTAGATTCTATCCAAAATTCTCCTTTAAAATTGTTTAAAAAATTTATCTATTTCTCTCTCTAATCATCTTCTCCTAAAACCCAATTTCATTTTTCCTTGAAACTTTCAAACAAAGTCTAACTTTTGTTTTTAAATATTTGAAGATATCTCGGATAGGTCCTCCCGAAATATGGCAATATAAAAGACACCACCCTAAAGCGTTTCGTCCCTTTGGATCACTTCACCCTTAAGGGGACTACGTACATTTCAGATAGGCCATTCCGGGATATGACAATATAAATGATACCGCCCTAAAGTGCTTCTTCACTTTGGACCTTATGTTGGGGGACCTTATGCATTAATGATCACCACTACAATGTAAAATTCCTTTTACTTCACTTGAAAAATGGGTTTTACATTAGTTTCAAAGGCGAGGTAGCAAAGGACGTATAAAAGAATTTCCACTTTTCCTCTTAGTTATAGATCAACGAAGGAAAAAAAATGTACTGCTCTTGGATTTAAATCTCAACGTCAATAGTTTTATATTTTATTAAAAAATACGTAACTTTATCTCTCAATGTTAAATGTTAAAACTAACAAGAAACACACATTTAATTATTGGATGTTAAGTAGTCTAAAATCCACTTTATTAAAAATGAATAAATAAGATGTAGTATATTTAATTCAAACTCGTGCTTTTATACTAGATGTTCTTGTATAGCTGTCAAGTGAGTTAATGAGACATTGTTTTCCGACGTGCATAACAATTAATAAAAATAAAATTTTAAAATTTTTATTTTTACTTATTTATTTATTTATTTATTATTTAGTTAAATTATAGAAAATAATCAAACAAAAAATTTATAGCTCCATCTTATTTATAAAAAAAAAACTATTTTAAAATTTGATTGAATAATAATATATCTAAAATGTATTATGAACCAAACCGATTGATTATTTAATAAATTAAAAATTATTATTTTATAAATAAAAGGGTGTTTTGCTGTTAGAAAGAAATAGGTGTCCCGGAACGTTGAGGAAAACCCGTTGATACAATCAAGACTGGTCGCGAAGCGGGTCATGCGCTCGACTTCACTCCGGTTTAACGCGTGGCATATTCACACCCTCCGTTAACCTTGTAAATTTCGCCACGTTTCTCCCCCCAAACACCACGTGGCATTCATGCTGAACTGCATAACCACCCCGAACTCCCCAATCTCGATTTCATTACTTCAACAAAGAGAAATACGAAATTCGCAGAAAGAAAACGAAAATGGCGAGTACGAAGCATTTGTTGTTGGTGCTGTGTCTTGGAGTCTGTGTGGGAATGTGCAGATCATGGGTTGAGGATGTTGCTGAAGAGAACCCGGAGTCTTTCTCTCATTGGGCTCTTAATGCAGTTTCTCAGTAATCTTCTTTTATCCAAATCTTTATCTTTCCTGCATCTAATTATCTCATTCAACTTTACTTATATAATGAATTCTTAACCGGTTGTGTTGCATCTCTGAGTTGCTAGAAGTCATGAATTGGAATTGTCAGAAAAAACTTGAATAATAAACAAGAGGATAAACATTGTTCATAGAGAATTTAAAACATATTGATTCTTCTTGCGTATGCCATCACATCATTATAAGGGTTATGACAAAATATAAAAGTCTGAACACAAAAGTTCTAACATGAATTCGGAGATTGATGAAAAATATATTAGGCCAAACCTTAACTGCATATTTGCATTTACTACCGAGGCAGAGTTTTGGAATCAGAAAATGATGATGCCACTCAAAACATGAAGTTAAAAGCTGAAGATGCGGCTTCAAGGGCCACAGAAACAATGAAATCTGTAGCATCAGGTACTTGTACATTCTTCGCCACTATTCATCTTATATATTCATTCATAAACACCTAAACAAAGAAAATGATGATTAAGATTGCACTAATGAATTTCAAGGCCAGGTCTGTGTATTACTTTAATATGTTTGAATATTTAATATGTTTAGGAGCTTCTGAGTATTCGTCTCAGAAGGCTACAAATGCCAAAGAAGCAATTGGAAGTGATGATATCATCAGAATGCCAATCGATAAAGTGACCGAAGCAAAAGACACGGTGCAAGATACCTATGAGAATGCTAAGCAAAAACTAAGCTCAGCTTCAGATAAGGCTTCAAATATAGCTCATGATGTTTATAATGTCAAAAACGATATAAGAGGTGAAATGGATTGTGGTGGAAACGATAACAATGCTTTTGGTGTCTACGATGAAGCAAAAGATGAAGTGAGCAAAGCATACATATCTGCAAAGAATTCCATGGGTGAAGAGGCCAAAGCTAAGTACGAGGCTGCAAAAGAAAAGGCTTCCGAAGCCACAGGGAATCTTGGAGCTAAGATGAGAAATACCCCATTACTGTAAGAGAATCTATCTCACTAGTATAATTTTCTGTTAGGTTTCAACATATGTATCTATAACATTATGTAGTTACATGCACGGTGTATAGTTATGTGACATTATGGGACCCTTTGTTAACATGCGTAGCTTGTTATCTTTGATAATGAGTATATAGCATGATCATCCAAAAGATGCATGGTTTAATAAAGGTAAAAGGTTCACCCCTTCACTTTTTCTTCTTCTTTATTTTGTGGTCCATACTCTAGGACTCTGAACTTGAGTCCATGATCACTATTATGCTATGGACACGGACAAAATATTGTAATTTTTAATACACTAGATTACTTTGGCTCTTTTTTGGACAAAAGATAGCATCTTTCGCTGGATTACACTATATAATTAATGGTACATTAGGAAAGAAATTATGATTGTTAGATCCTTTGTCCCACGATAATGGGAAAAGTTAAATATTTATTACTAAAATTAGAATTGCATGTAGAATGGTTGGGAGGATGAACCAAAGCATAGCTATAGCTTAATTTTTTAGCCATTATTTTTTGGGTACTTTTGTTTTTGCAGCTAGCAACAAATTCTGTGAAAGATTAAATTAAGTCATTGCTTTTAGATTAAATTAAATCTTATTGAGTACTTTTTTGAGAATAAGGAGTAACCGAAATGTGGATATTGTGCGAGATTTAATGTCTGACAAATGCATGGTAAAGTTGAGTTTTCATTTCACTATTGTTTTGAGTGCACTGTGCTAGATGCTAAAGTCTTTTAGTGTATTGCATTAGTTATTTAAAAACTGTTTTTTTTTCATATATATATTTTTATACATGTATTAAAAAAAATCCTTTTAAATATTTTAAATTAATTGGATACATTTGTAAATATTTTATACGTTGTATACTGATTAAAATTTATATCTATCAAAGTACTTCAAAACTAATTCTAAATAAACTTATGTTCATAATAATTCTACTTCTCAAAAGCTCATGGTCAAAAACTCATATGTGCATTACAAAGATCGGCTAAACAAATCTTTAAAGAACTAAACAAGGACAGTTGATTATCTAACAAACACCTATTATCCAACACACTCCTAATCTTATTCAAAAATCGGAGTATGATCATAAATCTACTTTTATATTAAACCAATAAGCGAAACCTACTCTAATGTTAAACCAGTAATACTTTGTTTTAGGAATAAAAATAATTTTACTACACATTCTTCAAATGTTTCAGATTAGTGATCTTTGTTTTAGGAATAAAAATAATTTTACTACACATTCTTCAAATGTTTCAGATTAGTGAATGTCATATCAAAATCAAATTCTTCGTAATATAACCAAGATTTTGAAAAACTTTGAAAATCTATTTTTCAAAATCTTAATCTAATCAAAATCTTGAAAACCTTTTAAAATTGGGTCGACCTTTAAGATTGGGCACAGAAGAGATGTATGCACATAACTCACAATGATCAAACAAGTGATCAACCTCGACAGTTGAAGAGATTTTGTCTGGTTGATAGTCTTTTTTTTATAAAAGTTGTTAAGAAAACACTACCACCTTAGAAAATCTTCAACTCTTTCAAATTTTGTCAACCTTCGAATTACCTAGATAGACCTAACTTCTTTTTCGTCAACTTTTATAGACGAAAGCTGAGATTTTGAATCCACATCTAGACATCTTTTCCACTTTAGAAGATTTTTAAGTGTTTCAACTTTTGTCAACCTTCAAATTACCTGGACACCTAACTTCTTCGCCAAATTTTATAGATGAAAGCTTTAACATAGACATTTTTCATTAAAAAAACATTTCGAAGATTTTGAATCCACATCTAAACATCTCTCCGACTCTGCTTTACCATCCCAGCAAGAGAGTTAAGTAACTCCACTAAAAGTTCTTTCTTCTTAACAATAAGAGAACGTCTCCATATAAAGTATCAAACCCAAACCTCTTCTACCCAACTTTCTATCAATCCCACGACTATAATTTTTGCTTTGAGATGAGAAACAAGCTCTCAAGCAAGTCACATAATGAAAACTTTTCTACCTAAACATCATGTTAGAAACTTGTATTCAAACCATCCCCAACCTTCTTAGAAAATGAAGAGATGAACTAGAAGAAATATGCTTTTCTTAAACCGATCACCCCTTATCTAATGGAGAAACATACACCAGAGCCTCATATCTAGAAGAAATAATATTCTTCCACGAAAATTGCCTATCCTCATGAACCCTTGACCTCCACTTAATTAACAAGATCAAATTCAAAAACCTTAGATCTTTAACACCTAAATCACCATCCCTCTTATGCTTATAGATGTTCTTCCACTTCATCCAAATTACTATTGTAATTCCTTTTGATCCTTCCCATAAGAACCTCCTTTACATCTCAATTAACTTTCATAGTTTAATCGGCATCTTCAAGAAAGAAAAGAAGAAAAGAAGAAAAAGAGTTTAGTTATGATAAAAGGATAAATATCAAGGATGGAACTCTCATCACTTTGTTGTGCAAAACGACAAAAAGTAATTTACTTTCACCATATATTGCTGACAAATACTTATGATGAAATTTGTATCTTCCAACACTTTCTTCATCTTTGTTCATTTGTAATCATCTTAGATATTTCCCCATGGTTAATTTGTTCAGATAGAGACAAGACAATACACAACCTTTAAAATCAATTCGAGAAAAGAACGGGTATTGTCTCCTATAATCATGTGTCGGTGTCTGTCCTATATCTGATGACAAATTTGTGGTGGGATCCTAACATTGATTACCATAGAAACCCATAGATTCAAGAACCAAGATTTTCATTATTAAAGTAAGCATAAAGTCCTCAAAACAAAGATTACGCATCAAATATTGTTACTTACACCTACCCTAATCTTGATTTAGCTTATAACAAACATTACAAACAATTTTGTCGTTTTCTTCTCTCTCTTTCAAAAGTCTATTCCAAGGAATAAAGAGGTGAGAAACTCAGAATCAGTGCATAGTCATACTACCATATCAATATAATTAAACACCATATATATAACATATTTTAAATACATAGAAATTGAATATTAATGATCAATTATGTTATTCATTTATATACTAATTTTTTTTCCTTATTTCTTTTAAAACAAATGGAACAAAATAAAACAAAAAAATAGCTAAACTAAGCTTACATTTCCTGTTTTTTTCATAGCTTGTTTATTATTATGCATCCAAACTTTGAAAACCTGTCTTTTGATGCCAACTTGAGAACAAAACTGTTGAACTTCTTGTTCATCATGTTTCTGGATCTTCCACCCAATCTTTTGAGCAAACTCCATCATCTTATCCTTTTGAAGCTGTGAGAATTTCGTCCTTATCCTCTTCTTAGAAACTTGTTGCTGCTGCTGCTGCGTTTGTATTGAAAATTGTGCACCCAACATGTTGAGATCTTCACTTGATGATTCAGCTGGACCTGATCCAAAGGTCATCATCAATGGTGGAACATGTCCAGAAGTAGTAGGGTGTGAGAATCTTTGAGATGAAGAAGAAGGTGTGTTAAACTGAACGGGACCGTTATTAACAACATGTTGCGATTGTTGTTGATGTTCGTGTTGTTGTTGCTGCTGTTGCTGCTGTTGTGGTAATTGGACATGTTTTCGATGAAAATTTCGATGACAATCACAAGCAGCACATTTGAATGATTGTGGAGTACCTTCTTCACCGCTTGGCATGAACTCGCCACATCCATCTACCACGTGGCTTCCCATGCTTGCCGCGTGGTTTCTCAGACATTCTCGGTAATATACTTTTGTTGTGGTCTGTTGTGGTGTTATTGGGATAGTAGAAGTGCTTGTTGTAACGATTAGATCTGGATCTGGATGAAGATTATTGTTGTGGTGTGAACTTTGTGGTGGAATATTGAAGACTAATGTGTTTGTGTTAGTTTGAGATGGAGTTGTTTGAGGTGGAGTTGGTGAAGAAGAAGAAGAATCTCTATTGTAACCTAAAGTTGTTGGTGAAATGTTTGTTTCCATTAACCTTATTGTGATGAAGGTGTGTGTGAGATCTAAATTAGAATAATCTCTCTAACTTAAACCATAATCAATGTTTATTTTGTGTTTAATTATGGTTGTGGATGCTAAATTAAACCCTAATTCAACACCATAATACAACAAAACATAAACAAAGATATATATGATTATAGTAATAGTAGCAGTAGAAGAGAGATACTGTTATTTATTGTGTGTGATTATTCTTATAATCTCACCAACAACAGAATTTCACTAATCAATCCTATTCTCAGAAATCTAAGGAAGTGCTTTAACTGTATATATAGGACCACTAATGGGAATATTGTTTTTTGGAAAAAATAATTTTCAAAAAAAGGTGAAAATAGAGAATATAAGACTCACCTTAGTAGGTAGATTAGAGGGTAGAGAGAGAAAGAAGGTGGAAAGGGTAACATTGTGGTTGATTAAGGGTAGACAAGTGTGATGTTAGTGTTGTTAATTTGGGTTTTATTATGAGAAAAAGAGAGAGGGCCTAGTAGTATAGAATAGAAGGCTTTTTTGTTTGTTGTTGTTTCCTAGCTAGCACCCAGCCATGAATCTAGACACATGAAATGAAAACAAAGCTGAAGTGGGAATGAATGAGATTGCACTTAGTGGTGAATTTGTCTTGTAGAACAACCGACAAGGCATGTTGGTCCTCTACTCCCGTAGTATGCAGCATATCCTGGTCCAGGTTTAAATTATTGTCCTTCACAATTTACTCATTTCTTTAGTATCTCAAGAAATCAATTTATTAAACCCTAATCATATTATTGTCCTTCACAATTTGCTTACTACTTTAATAATAACAAGTAACTTAACTAATAATTTATAGGTTTGAATGATTCTCAGGGGTTTTGAGTACGCATTTAGGGTTAAGATTAATTTTTCTAAGAGTTGTATCTTTTGGATTAGTGTGAGGAGGGAGTTTTAAAACTTGGGTGAGGTGTTTTTCACCGTAAAGCTGATAGTCTTTCTTTTAAGTATTTAGGACTTCTGGTGGGTGCTAATACTAAGAAGGAAGGGACCTAGGATCATCTGGTCAATTTTCTGTCCATTAAACTGGCTTATTGGAGGAATAAGTTTGTGAGTTTTAGAGGAGGATTGTCTTGTTAGATTCGGTGATTAACTCGATACCTATTTTTTCCTTTTCTTTTAAGAAGATGTCAATTAAAGTCTGAAAGAAGATGATTGGGATGCAAAGCAGTTTCTTTGAGGATAGGGGGCTCAAAAGGAAGGCTACACTAGTGGAAAAAAGACTTCTTAAGTCGGTTAAAAATGACTTTTTAAGTCGGGTCCGAGCCCGACTTAAGAATTACCGATATAAGAAGTTTTGACTTCTTAAGTCGGCTGTGGACCTGACTTAAGAAACAACTTCTTAGGTCGGTTAGGCAGAACCCGACTTAATAAGTCTAGCCTGCAGAAACCATTTATACCCGACCTAAGAACTTACTTTCTTAAGTCGGGTATAACTAACCGACCTAAGAAGTTTTTTTTTTTTGAATAATCACACAAATCAGATGCAGTTTTCCCATTTAACAGTTTATCCCCAAATCTGACTATCCAACTCAATCAACAAATTACACCCAAAATTATCAGAAAATTAACTCTTCTTTTCATTATCACAAAATTATGTAGAACCAAGTATATTAACACAAGTATATATCAGAAAATTATCACAAAATTATCAGAAAACAGCAGCAGAACTAACTCTTATTTTCATTATCACAAAATTATGTAGAACCATGTTAAGCAGATAACAAGTCAATATTAAGCAGATATAAAGCCATTAATACTGATGTAACTTGTTTCTACTATGAAACCTACAACTTGTTCCAAAGATTAGCCTAATACAAGTATAGACACCAATTCTAACAGATAGTGAGGGAAAGCCAAATACAATCACATAAATATAGAAGCAGCTGCACTTTTTGCCTTAATTGAATCAGGTCCTTCGCATATTTACTTATACAATTCCATCACCTTCTCTTCAGAACAGAAAGAAGCATTTGTTCTTATATTCCCTACTGCATCGTTCGCCACTTGCTTCCTCATTCAATTTCTGTTCAAAGAAAACAATATCAGTATTCACAATTTCACAACATAAAGCTAAATCAAAATTGCTTCTAGAGATCATGCTTGTATTGTAACAGGCAGAAAATAAAACGGATGCCTTGCTCTATTTTCTTATTATTGAGAGAAAAAAATGCATACGATTTTCGTCAAAGAATATTAAAAAAATACTAAAACAAAATTTACAAGATCCTTCTATAATTTGTGGTTTTTCATAAAAAAATAAAAGTTTTTTCTTTTGCGCCAAGCACCAAGAGGCTGGCTTCGACCTTCTGTTCTATAAACAAAAATAAATTTTTCTCATTCTGTGACTTATTTCAACTTTTTAACAGGCTTCCTTTTTAATGTCGGCAGAGATTCCATATCGCCAACTTAAGGAGAGCTGGGTTTCTCTGAAGCATTATCATCAATGGCTAAATCGGATACCTCATTGACTAAATATGTTTCTTGTTCGCCATCTAATGAAGCTACGGGCGATGACTCTGGGCTGCTGTTTTCTTCAGAATGCTGCAGACTCCAGTACATGATGCTAGCGGATATAGTAAGTATCATCTTCTGGTTTACCTGTCAAGGTTAAATGCAAAATAAGCTATCAAATTTCTAGCCTATTAAGAACAGTTTAAAAGTATGCTATAATCTGAGGTAAGCATCAACATACTATGAGATCCACAAGACTACGTGGGATCCACAAGACTACGTGGGATCCATATGAATTTTTATCAATAAAAGAAAGTGTCTTAAGTGTGTTGCTAGCAGTGTTATCAAATATCCGCAATTGCAGCACTATGGCAGATTTACGTGGCGGTTTTTGGGCTAGCCGCCATGGTAAATATTGACCGATATTGCAGGTTTTTCCTCCATAACCCGTTATAACGGCGCCACAAAGCGTCCGGTATGGCGGGATTTTGGCTATCCGCCATGGACCGTCATCCACAATGGACAACACTGTTTACTAGCAGACTTCAACTGAACAAAAACAGTGAAGTTGATTTTTCATGGAACACGGAAAAATTACATATACTATTGTTGACATTACCTCTATAATGTCCTCAGGTAACAGGAAAATGGAGCATCCAAGTTTTCGGGCGACACTGATGATATATGTTGAATTCAACTTCTTGTCATCATCTGTGATTTGTCCAACAGATATACATTTGAACATTTCAATTGTTGTTTGTAAGATTATACATTCACATCACATCAATGTTAAACTAAGTAGTTTCAAGTTGAATGCAAACCAACATACCAGTTTCTCCTTTAGTAACTAGACTCCAATTGACCACTCTTGGCTCAACAGCACTCAAAAGCTCAAGGAAAAAAATACTGTTGGAAAGATTTTTATCCTGATGCAATAAAATAAATGAAAAATTAACACGAGAGAATATTAATAACAGTTTTAGATTAATGAAAATTAAGAGTAGCAAGAAAAGTATTATACGTAAATACATTTACATAATTTCAATTTTTTTGAGCCACCTTAAGATCAAATATTTGCATACATGTTAATACCACAATATACTAAGAACTGGTGATTTTATGCTTTATTACCTTGAAACTCTCCATTTGAGACGTTCTTCCGGCTTTCTTCACTTAGTTGTTTGCCCAGTTCAATATATCAGCATCCGTAATCTCTTTACCTTGCGAGTGTGATCTTAAGTTTCTCAGAAGTTGAAGCATGGTAAATCTCATAAGCTTCCACATAATGTTGTTGGACAAACAGAGATGAACATTCTTGTTAGTCACTCATATGCTATCAAACAAACATATCGGCTTCACCAATAGTGCAAATCTACCATAAAGCTGAAAATCATTGAAACTAACCTAGTAAGAGCTTCTTATTCCCTTGTACAATATCATTACCAGCAACATTTACTAAGGAAAAGTTAAGGTCCTTCCCAATTTTTATAACTTGGTTTCAATTCTCCACTTTTCGAAATGGCATCTTTATAGGAGGCTTTTTTGCCTGCTTTCAGTTGACAGATCCAGGTGAAACCTTATCAAGAACTTCTAATAGAATCCATCTGTGCGAAAATACATGAAACGTGTCACTGTTGATACTCGCTAGTCTTGCTGCATAACATCCGCATCTGTCATGCATCTGTAAAAAGGAAAGGAAAAAACATTATAGATATGACTACAAATATATAAGAAGTTAACAATTAAAATGAGAAAATGTAAATAACTCTACCTTGAAAGACAAGTGATTCATATCTAGAAATAGTATCTTCGCTTCGAAATAATTTGCTAAACCTTTAGCAAGAGATTGCTAATAGAATTCTTCAAAAAAAAAATCAAAATATCAGTTACATAGTGATTAGTAAACCAAAATAATCTGCACTTACATACATGTTAATTTATACCTCCAGGTCCAGCACTTGTTAACAAGATTCTGATTTTTTCACTGCAATTTCAATCATTATATGCATGAATAGAAGAAAAAAAGTTATGACAGTGCAATTCAAAGATTCACATGAAAAAGAAGAAGAGAAAAAAAAACAGGAAAAGCTAACCTAGGACATTACCTTAAATGGTAAGGAAAATTGTCTAGTGTGACTTTAGGATCTGTGGGTTCAAAGACTTGGTTCATGAGCTCCACCTCCATCTGATACTTGGAAATATCATTAGACAGACAAATAGTAAGGCATTTTATCATTGCAAGGCTCAATCCAGCAACACAAGTGAAAGTACAAGAGATTTTTGAATTTATAAGAATGAAAGTCACATTCTCCAAGCTACAGCTCCATCCTTTAAATATGTGTTCCTAACATGTGAATCAATTGCCCCGTCCTCTTTTTTCCAAAATAGAAAGTTTTAGTCTAGTGGAAAGAATCGTAAGAAAGAACAATCTTTTTATATTCATAAGATCCTGATACTCAGAAGTCAGAAGCCTATAGAAAAAATTAAAGGAGACAGTCTTTTCCCAATAGAAAAGGTAAAGAAGAAAGAACATAGGTTCTTCGAAGCATGCCCCCCAAAAATTGTAACAAAGCGAATAGCACAATTTGCAACATGTTTAAAGTAACCCATACCTATGCTGGAATATTTGAGCAACAAATGCAAGATTAAGGTTAGGAGACCCCTCCACTATGTCCTTTGGAGTGAGGTATCGCTTGCAATCTAATCTCTCTGCCTGCTCAAGAACCATCTTTGCTCTTTCTGTAGGATCAGTTGTGGTCAAGGTACCTGGGCCTGCAACTTCTGGAGCAAGAGCACTTAGCAAGTAAGCATAAGCCTCTCCATCCTGCAAAAAAGAAAGCATTAAAAATAAAATAGACCCATGGTAGCTTATAACCATGTCGTATCTGTTTACATCTATCAAACATCTGCTATGTGAGAAAATGTGCCACATAATGATTCAGTAATCAACTATGGTATATGACAATACAGTAAATTTATTCCTAGAAAATTACTAAACGCTGTAACGGACAACAGAACAAAAGGAGGTTCACAGTTTCTTCACTGATCAAGTGGATCTGAACAAAAAGGGGTTCATAAGGAGTAGTACAATACTTCCATCATCATGCATGCTTTCACTAACAAAACTGCACACATATTGAGAATTACAATATTAGTAACTATAATTTATGCACAAAGAACAACCAAAATATATAATATAATTGTAAAGCACATACAATTGGAGATCCTTGAGTTTTGGTAGCAGAAACTTGGTTGCTCCTTCAATGTGCTTCTTGAAAATCTCTTGCTTCTCTGCCTCTAACTTAGGTGTAAGCAATTTGATGTATCTTTTCATAAAAGTAACAAATTGCTTCTTATCAAAAGCAGGCTGTTCCTGTAATCTGAAAGTGTCGACAATATCGACGACCTTAACAGCTTGATCATCAACACCTTCATCGTAACCTCCACCCTCAGCAGAAGGGTTAGCACCAATATCAACATCTACAGCTCCTTGAACAACCCACTTTCCTTCGACTTCCCATAGTAAGCCTTTCTCAATTTCCTTATAGGGGAATGAGTCAAATAGGAGTTCATCACCTACATATTCATATACAAAGTAAAGTTCATAAATAATGTTTGAAAATATAATCATAAAATAACTCTCGTCAACTGTGATAACCGTCTCCACATAACCATCTTGATCATGATTCATGAAATACTCAAATACCACAGAAACTGATATCTACACTAAATCACTTCCCATCTCTGATTCTCTCAATCTCATCAACCTTCTGGAATATTCTCTTCCTCCAAACATGGATCGACGTTCTGCCATGATTGCTCTCATTGAACTAGCAGCAACAACATTACACAGTCTATCAAAAATTTCACGCAACCAAAACAACACAAGTAATGTGAGATTTTAGCATAATGCATCATTATTTTAAAATAAAAGAGAGTTCATATTGAACCATATTGATTATGAGTTTAACATAAATTTAACTAGCAAACAAACAGATTGTGAAAAGTTTAAAGTAATTGATTCTTAACAAAACAAAACCAACCAAGTGATATTCATTACAGATGCTTACGCAGAGAGTTTCAAAATTTTACCGACATGAACAACTCCGTGAAATGATGTCGTGCAGGGACCAACAACTCTTGTAAGCTTTCATATTCTGGTTTTGGAGTTATTTTGTACATCGATTACCACCATATAAGGATCATTAGTCAAAGAATTCCATTCCTTCGAGTTGCTGCTGCAGTATAGTATCGCATAACAGAATCACTCACCATGTCGAATGGTAACAATGTACCACCTCTAATCAAACCAATGCTCCAAAACCGAGTCACTGTTATTTCCGCGAGCTGCTGAGTTGTAACTAGCCAATACAAACTCTTGACCGCTGAGCCCCTTTTTTAATATTGTCTGCAAGTCGCGAGAAGGATAACGAAGTATGGTGTATCGACGAGGGTTTTGAGGTTAAGATTTGTTGATGAAGAAGAAGACACTGGTAGTATTGCGGCGGAAACAAAGGTTTGAGGGGTTTCAATGGTGGACTGAGGATTTACGGTGAAAATAAAGGATAGGGTTTCTCGGTGATGGAAAGTTGACGGAGGAAGACGAAATCGGAGGGTTTACGGTGGAGGGTAGTTGGAAGATGGTGATGGTATTTCACGGTGAGGGAAAGATGGTGATGGTATTTCACGGTGAAAGGGTTTTTTTTTAGTATTTCACGGTGAGGGTTTACGGTGATGGTATTTTCGAAGGAGAGTGACGAATAGGCAGAAGAGAGAGGAGAAAAGAGTGAGTAACCTAAATCTGAAAACAAAGAGGAAGAGAATATTTTTTAATATTATTGTTTTATTTCACTAACTTGTTTCAAGATGGAATCGAACCTGCGTTTTGTTAGAAGTATATAAAACTTCTTAGGTCAGGTGGCTGACACCTGACTTAAAAACTAGTTTTTAAGTCAATTAATAAACACATACATGTGACTTAAGAAATTTAATATAAATTATATATTTTTTAAATCTTTTTTAGGTCGGTTTTAAATACACCTGACTTAACTAAGTTGCCAATATTTACGAAATTGCCACCGCATCACTTCTTAAGTCAGGTGGCAGGTGAACTGACTTAAAAACCTCTGCTATAAAGTATTTTTTTCTACTAGTGCTAAGATAGCCTAGGTGAAGTGGGTGGATTGTGCAAGTCTATAAGGGATGGTGATTTAGGAGTCAAGTATCAGAGGCTTGTAAATTTGGCTCTATTAAATAAGTGGAGGTAAAAAGTCCTTGAGGATAAGTCGTTTATATGGAAAGATATTGTTTCTCTCGAATATGGAGCTTAAGTGTGTTGTTCCTCGATGGGAGGTAGGATGGTGGGTCTTAAGAAGGCCTCATATTAGTGGAGAAGGATCTCCCTATGCTATGGGGGTTTGCGGTGTAGTTTGGGCGGTTTTGATGCTAAAAATCATTCGAACCGTAAGAGAAAGAAATGTGTGGTTTGGTTTGGTTCGATTGACTTTTAAAAATAAAATCGAACCAAATCAAACCAATGCAATTTGGTTCTGTTTGGTTGGTTCGATTTTTTACAAATTTTTTATTGAATCATACACACATATATAGATGACAACATAACTTTGTATTTAGTCATTCAAATACTACTAAATAACAACAAAACTCTTCATATTTGGACAACAACTTTGTATTTAATATGTAAAAATCATATTAGAAAAAAATGAAATAATAAATATGAAACAATAGCATAAAATAATCTTAAAAGCATTATAATGACACAAAAAATAGAGGAGATGAAAGATTAGTGAAGATAAAAAAAGAAAGAACAGAAGAGATGAAAGATTAGAGAAAAAGATATGCGATAAAAATGAAATTAGAAGAAAGAACAATAACATAAAGATGAAAGGGTGAAAAAGAAAGAATATAAGAGAGTAGATATTAGAGAAGAAGGGCCAAGATGTATTTGACGAAGAAGGCGTGATACTACTATGAGATATTAGAGAAGGCTAAAGCTGAAACCCTAAGTGTGAGGAAGAAAAAATCGTTCGTAATCGTAAGGCTATGGCATAATAGGTTTAGGTTTTGGTTGTATGCGAGTTAAGTGAAATTTGGGTTGTAACATAATGCGGTTTAATTCGGTTTGCTTC